TCGAGTTAAAGTTTTGCATATTTCCGATCACATGAAGTGACCATAAACCTTGGCTGTCTGATTTCCAAAATTTAGGCAGTCTTTTCAAATAAAATAATGTACGACCACATAGCACTTGAAGCTTTATTTAGCAATGAAGTACTATATAATCACCGCACTAAATTAATTAGAATAGTTATAAGCAAGCTTTTATCTTGATGTTTGGTTGTTTTTTGAGAGCAAAAAATCAACAGATCAGAAGGATTGTATTAGAAATAAATTCACAAATTTAATACTGTTTCGCAACCAATAAGTGGCATAGCCAAGAATTAATTTATGGAATTTGTTAATCAGTTACATACTTCGCAAGGTTAAAAAAAAAAAAACTATATAAATCCGATTTCCAAACTTTGGACGATAATAATAAAAAAAAAATTATTAGAACTGCAAACGCTTTAATTAAAATTTCTAGAAAATTTTTTGGTATGCAAATTATTTCTAGAAATTTTAGCCACAAAGTTTGCAATTCTAATAAAACTTTGTGGAATTTCTTTAATTTTTGCACAAAGTTTGGAATAATGAGCTCAATTTTTATAAAAAAAAACATTAGCGAAAAAATTTTAAATGAATATAAAGATTTATACAATTTTAACTGCCTAACCAGAACGCTCTAAACTGCCCACAATATGTAGCTGTGGTTATGGTATATTATTTCTGATGTAGCTAGCGAAATAGCTGGTGGCTGTGGTACTACATTTCGTTTAGCCAGTAAGTGTGAGTCACTATACTTGTTTATTTTTTTTTCACCTAAATAGTCAGTAAATTTGTACTCAGTGAAAAATGGAAATATACATTTGTTTGAATTATGCATTCTAAAATAATAAGTTGCTATTCATTTTAAACTAATTTCAAATCCGTTTTTTCTTATTTCCAAGTAGCTTTAAAATTTTAATACTTCATCATAAAGTTTCAGTTTGTATAAGTAAACATCGCCAACAAAGGGGCACACGCACCTCAGAGTAAAGCAATCCCCATCAAATCTATTTTTAAACGCTACTGAGGATACGTCAAACTAGCCTGAATGTATTTGTCACATACATATATTCACAGATACTAACACATGGAAACCCTACGCATGCGCAAAACGGACATTTGGCTCAAAACTATCTCCCTTTGATTGCTGCATCCAAAGACATTGCGCAGATAGGTTACTGCCAATATAGAAGTATTACATATATGTCCGAAACCGGCCAAACCAAATTTGACTAGAAATAACGGAGACACGTTCCAAAGTACATCGTATACAAACCCTGTCGGAAATAGCAACAACCAGTGACTTACATAAGTTGGCTATAGCTTTTTTTCATGTTAGTCCTCAACATTCACAATCGGCACATTCGCATTCAGAGAGTTCGCATTCGCAGTTGCGAACGTTAAATACATATATGAAATCCGAAACATCGCGAACATCCATAAATATATATATATACACTGGCCAAAAGTTATTGCTTGATTTTTCTTTTTTATGGCAAATACACCGATTGTAAGAAATTTGATTAAAGTTGAACATTTGAAAACATATTTGTACATATGTCTGGCCGTAGCTAAACGTGCAGAGATGCTTGTTGTTATTTGTTGGCTTCCAGCGGGTTCGAGTTCGAATGCCGTCAGAGGCCACATGTAACTTTTTGTTTTTTGCTAAATTTCAGAAGGCCGCGTTCAAATTCCGTTAGGTACAACTTGTTAAAATGGTAATAAAAATATTTTTTGTATCTCCGATTTATGAAAAAGAATATGTGAAGTGCAGAATATAAGCGTATTCAAACGAAAATATCATA